ATAGCAAGAATTTACATGCTTGAAAAAAGTGCCAGCTAAATAAATACTAAATGCCAATAATAAGAATTGAAATTGCATGAAAAAAAAAGTGTTTTGCAACATTCTTTAAAGCTCCTTAAGTACTAAATTTAAGTTTCTTGGGATCAAAGTCTAAGAGCTGCTAACCCAAAAAAAGTGATCGTTGGTTCGATTTACTGTCCGGACCAATTTCTCAGTTTGCTGCAGGCAGTATATAGATAAGTCGAGTTCAGCCAGATGGTATGACTATATAACTATATAATATAGCAGTTAGTCTGCCAAAAATTTAAATCTTTGTAGTAGTAGTAGTAACAATTAAGAGCTTCACTGGGCTCCTCTCGTATCTACAATTGTTTACACCACATCAAATAAGAACAAGAAAAGTATTGCATTTTTTTTTATATCTTCTCTGCAAGGGTATTTGCACTTCGGCTGCTCGCACATTGCAGTTCTGTCTTGTTTTCGTTTCTGGCCGTTGTCATTGGAGTCACATCCAGTTCCCTTCTCCTCACCCTTCCCCTTCCCCTTCCGTCCTTGCCCCTCCGCTTGGTCGTCGTCGCCTGTTAAGTTGTCATTTCCATTATGACCATGTCGCTTTAGCATTTAACAAATAGTTGAGACATTTACAAGCATCGATAAGCGACGCAGCCGCGGCACCTGGGGCAATCCCCCCTCCCCCTCCCCCTCCCCTCCCTCAGGGGGAGGGGGAAATCAATGTCCGAGCTCGAAATGCAGCCAACGAGCGATTTGTGTTAATGTGCTTAGATTTCGGTCTTAGCCGTCGACTAATTTATGTCGCTTTTAAATGGCCAAAGGCAAAGTTTTTAATATTCATACGGCTTTTGTTGTCCGCCTGTCCGACTGTCGCACACACATTAATCAACAGCAGCCAGAGCATCCATCCATCCATAAGGCCCATAAATAACCAAATCCAAATCGAAATCGAAAATCCCATCTCTGGCCAAGACGGCCGCGACGGCGGCCCACACACACACACAATAGGCAAACACTCACGATCTGGCCATAATAATTGCCCGGCGCATTTGACATGCCAACACGATAATATGACAGACAAGTCAAGAACATTTCAAAGACAACAACAACAAACAGCTGGAAGAAGGCCTGAGACACCGGATATGTCGTATGGAAAAATGGGAGAATGGAAATGTGGCTTGAAGTTGAGCGCGTGTCTTCTTTTTCGCTCGTGACACGAACATTTAAATATAATACATCAATTTAAGGAATGCAAGCAGAAGAATGCATAGAAAATAAAATAAAATAAATATTTTATATATATATTTAGAAGTTAATATTTAAAAGTTAAGCACAATTAAAAAAATTACTTAACAATACCGAAACGATGGGGAGAAACGATACTTCAGCCGATTATTTAACCCCAAAGAAAGTTGTTAGTGCTCAACTATATAATCTATTTATTATATTAAGAAAATGGAGTAAGGAAATTTGTTATGTAATTGAGAGGGGATATATTGAATATTTTTAAAACTGTTCAATACTTATTTTTTCATATATAACTGATCTTATTGTTAGTATACATAATACACAAATTAATACATGTTAATATACATAAGTTAATCAAAAAATACTCTTAACAAAATATGACCATGAGGAGCTCGAATTGCCGAGTTTGATGAGAACATTTGGGAGAACAGATAATTTTTGCATTTAACGATAAATGCTTCCTGCGGAGCTATATGATAAAGTAGTTCGATATTGATAAGATAAGGCTCAGATATGTCAAGCCTAGCCGAATTTGTAAAGATATCACGACAAACAATAAAGTTTGGTGCACAAACTTAATTTTCGAGCGATCCTTCCTTCTTATGACATCTATATTGTATATATGGTCCGATACGGCAGATTCCTTTAATGTTTAAGAGTATATACTCTATTTGATTGAAGATGTCTTCTTCTACAAATTTCGTTAAACATTTCTTCTCTACAAGGTCTTAAGTATGAGAGTTTTAAACTGAACCCTGAAGTAAACGTCGAGTTCTGGATAAGTTAATTTCTCAAAATGCATATGACCGCGTGCTTCCTCGTCGTCTTTTCGTGTTCGTGTCATGTCGTGCTGGAAAGAAGAAGAGGCGCCCATCTCTAGCTCGGATGCGCCTGGCTGACGGCAGGCCAAGTTGACATTGACGTTGACGAGAGTGTTGACAAAAGGGCAAATTATCAATTGATAATGCGGCAAATTGTGAACAAAGCATTAAAAACATATCGCAGAGAGTTTGGTTAATTTATCAAAAGATATGAGAGAGGGGTTGGGGAAGGGGGAGGGGAAGGGAGAGGGGGAGGTAGAGGGAGAGGAAGAGCCAATTGGTGGGCGGCATTGTTTATAGGGCTAATAACAAGCCAAGAGATGGTTTGTAACAATTTGAAATCGATTTGTCAGAGAGAGAGGGAGAGAGCGAGAGAGAGAGAGGGAGAGAGCGAGAGAGAGAGAGAGGGAGAGAGAGAGAGGGAGGGAGGGATCGGAGCATATGGCCGGACGTGTATTACTTTTTGCTGGCATCTACTCATTAGCACGAGCATAAATCATTCTCGCTGATCGTTTCCCTGAATCGATGGACAATAAGTGAGAGAGAGAGAGAGGGAGAGAAGGAGTGTGTGAGAGAGAGAGGGCAAATTGAGCCGCAGGCAATCAGCAAAAACACTTCCGATGGCCCAACGAGCCGCTTTCAACTGCCATCTTTGAGCTGATGCAACACGTACGTGAAGCAAAACCTTTGCGTAATTTGCACGAAAACGTTTTGTTTGAAATTGAAATTGGTTTTCTCCTCTTGCCAGACAATTTAACCGCAAATCGAGTAAAACGCGCAAAACGATAGGCCCAGCCCCAGCCCAAGCCCAAGCCCCAGCCCCGGCCTGAGACTCTGAAAACTCGCGAGCAACAAAAAAAAAAGGAGTAAGAAGAGCTATCTTCGGCACGCCGAATATATAATACCCTTCCATAATGGTCACAGTGCTTTGCCCGTATCTATCGAGCTTGGTTAAGATATCTAAAAAAACAAAAAAGTTTTCCATACAACTTAATTTTCGTCCGATCCTTCCTATGCCAGATATATGATATAGTGGTCCGATGTAAATAAGACTTTGCTTAAATGTAGGGAACATAGTGAAACTTATAAATGGCGAGTTTGGTCAAGATATCTTGATAAACAAAAAAGTTTTCCATACAACAACTTTATTTTCCACCGATCGTTTCTATGCCAGCTATATGATATAAAGGTCCGATATTGTTAGGATTTTGCAAATATATGAGGAGCATAGTAAAACTCATAAATGCCGAGTTTGGTCAAAATAACTTGATAAACAAAAAAGTTTTTCATATTAGAACCTGTTTTTCGACCGATCGTTCCTATGGCAGCTATATGATATATTAGTCCGATGTAAATAAGATTTTGCATAATTGTAGGTAACATATTAAAACTAATAAATGCCGAGTTTGGTAAAGATATCTTGATAAACAAAAAAGTTTATCATATAAGAACCTGTTTTTCGACCGTTCGTTCCTAGGGCAGCTATATGATATAATGGTCTGATCAAGCTAGTTCTGACATATGTAATGCGTGCAACTAAAAGAGGAACTTTTGCAAAGTTTCATAAAGATAGCTTTAAAACTGAGAGACAAGTTCGCATAGAAACAGACAGACGGACAGATGGCCGGACGGACGTGACTATATCGACTCTGCTGTTGATAACGATCAAGAATATATATACTTTACTGGGTCGGAGATGTCTCCTTCTATGCGTTACACATGTCGCGACAAAATTATAATACCCTCTGCAAGGGTATAAATAAAGGAAAAGATTAATTCGAGCAAATGTTAAACTTTTGTGTGCGATTTAGCATACCCTACAATGGAGACGAACTATATAATTGGACACGCCGCATCAGGCAGGCACGTTTCGTATTAACAAAATCAGCAAGACCCAGATTGAGAGAGAGAGAGAGAGACAGAGAGAGAGAGAGAGAGAGGGAGAGAGGGAGAGAGCGCAGCGGTCAAATGCATGCAATTGGCTATAAAAATGGATGGCAAATGAGACGTTTGCAGTTGCATTTGCATTCGCCGCGAATCAATTGCAAATGGCCATCCATTTCCACTTCATCATCATCAATACAATGATCATTATCATGATCATTATCAGCATCATGATGATGATGATGAAGAAGAAGCAGCCATTGCTGGTTGATTGTCTGGCAACAAACAGAGAAGAAACTCTTTTGTGTCGTTGTTGATGAAAACGATTTTAAATTATTTCTTATATCAATTGCGAAAATGATATTATTGCCCCGACTCGGATCGACTTCCATTTGCGGCCGAGCCTGGCATGGCTATAACAATTATTTGCGCTTTTTGCTGTTTTATTGCTACTCCATTAAAATTGAATTGACTTTTTGTTGTTGTTGTTGTTGTCGATGTTGTTGTTGTTGTTGTTGTTGCTGGCATATTGCCTGTTAATGTTGAAAATATAATAATGCCCATTACGCCGAAACAGAAACGATTGTGCGATTGATGTTAAATTAAAAAATTATTGATTATGCAGCCGACACCAGCTGCAAAATGTTCGCACAAGCGCAAGACATGTTTTTAATAGAAGCAACGCAGGGTAATTAAACTTTAGCCAAGCTAAGCTGAAAACATTCAGAAAATATTTCAATTGGAGAATTTTTAATAAAAGCGATTAATTTTGAAAATAATTCTAGATTGTCATTTCAAAAATTACAGCTTAAATTATTCTCTGTGTTACAGTCTGCATTACGAAATTATAATACCTTCAGCAAGGGTATAGACTTACTTGCTTACAAAAATATCTAGTGTAGCAATTTCGTCTGATTTATGTGCTGTTCTAGATTATCATTTCCAAAATTATAGTTTAAATTATTCTCTGTTTTACACAATTCATTACAAAATTATAACACCTTTAGCAAGGGTATAAGACTTACTTACCTTTGTGAATTTGCAGGTTTCCGAATTCAAAAATTAACGTAAGAGCTCAACACTACGTTACGTCTTGTGCATAAACAGTGCAAAACAAAGTAGTTTTCAAGCAGTCCATATGTCATATCAGTTCACTCATTAAGCAACAGGTGGCGCAACATTTTGGTTGGCGTCTCGACTGTGCCGTTCGAGTCCACACTTAACGAATTTTATCGTATTTACGATAGAATTACGTAGAATCGATGTTTTCATAAGCTTGATATGCCTGACGCTAGAGTGCGCTCCTTATGATCCGAAGTTATTTGAGGAACGTGCGAGGACATGGTGAAGAAACGGGCCTGTTGAATATAGGAAAAGTTAAAATTAAGTAATATGCAACTCAATAAATACACTATTATTACTAGTTCTCAGATGGAGATATTAATAAAAATCTTAAATATAGTCATGAGAATTTTTACATATTTTTTATTGTATTGAAAAACATAGAAATGCAAGCAAAGGCAAGATCAAAGAACTATTTTCAGCACACTGAAGATCAAATACGCTTACAGACATTTGGCTTACGGCTGCGAGATGCATTTTAAAGCTCATTTTTGCAGGGTTTTGTGTATAATAATTGAGAAATATATAAACAAAATACTCATTTTTTGGGAGATTCTTCCTATAGAAATTTATGATAAAGGAGATGGTAAGAAGATTTGGCTTGTATGCAAGGCGCATGGTAAACTTGGACATTGCTAATCAAAGAGATATATATATGTCCGTAGATGTCTCCTTCTATGCATTACAAATAGCATGACAAAATTACAATGCCCTGTAATAACAATCAAAAAATTCCCGATTGTACTTCCGGGCAGAGCAGGTTATTTCCAGATGAGCTTTCACAGTTGAAGTCTTAAAGCTATTCCCATAACCAATTGCCTTTAAATTTATAGTGTATATAGACAGACGCGTATTTTGTCAAACTCAAAGGGCACACGGAACTCGCATTTAAACTCTTCGCACTTGTGTGCAGCTCCACAGTTGCAAAATGAAAACGAATACGCTACAGTCAAGCCTCATTAATAGCCGCCAGTTGAACATGGACCGCCCGCCCGGCTGAAGCGTCCTCCTCCCGCTCCAGCTCCTGCTCCAGATTTGCCGCCTTGCGATGTTTTTGACTTTTCATGTGATTGTCTTAAATTAGGCGATGTCAATGAAGACTGCTGCACGCACCCCGCCCCGCCCCGCCCCGCCTTGCCCCCGACCCTTGCCCGCAGCTCATTCTCTGGCAAATTGTGCGGTAATTGAAGTGTAACGGTAAATGCGGTTGGCGTCGATGTCGACGTCGACAGCGACGCGGGCAGCAGAACACTCATACGCACCGTTGCTGCTGATGAAGGGAAATGATAATTACACACACACACACACACACACACACACGCACACACAGACAGGCGCAATTTTTGTGGAAAAACGTACGTAAATAGCAAGAATCTCATTAAAAAATCTACAGCAAGGGCTCTAATGAGCGCTTACAGCAAAGAGCACCCCCCCCCCCCCCCCCCACTCTATCTACCCTCTCCCCTCACCCCGCCCCACCCATACTCCACACAGTCCAACAAAATGTAATTATATCGCATTATTTGTCATTTCGAGCAAATGAATTGAAACAAATTTAGTGTGACAAATGAATTGTTTATATGCGCGTATACGCACACACACACATGGACACATGCACATATATATATAGCTGCATGTGTGTGTGTGTGTGTGTGTTTGTGGTTACAGTCAATTTGCTTATTTTGCTTTCTAGCCAATTTGATTTGATTTGAATGCGTGCCTCGCATTAGAACTTGGCATGGTCGTATCTCTTGGCCATCGGCTTTTTGTGTGCTTTTGGCTTTTGCCTTTTGGCTTTTGGCTAGCTAATTCAAGTTTATGAGCCATGTCTAATTACCAAATGAATTGTGCAATTATTTATTTTTATTTATTAATTGGCTGCCTCACTAATGAGCCCCAATGCACTCACAATTGAGATGCGTTGCGATGAGTCAGCTTTTGACTGACTGATTGACTAACCGATTGACTGACTGACTGACTGATTTACTAACCAATTGAATTTTTGACTAACCGATTGAATGATTGACTAACCGATTGAATGTCTGACTGACTGACTGACTGACTAACCGATTGAATGATTGATTAACCGATTGAATGATTGACTAACCGAAGGACTGACTGACTAACCGATTGACTGATTGAGTAACCGATTGACTGATTAACAGACTGACTGATTGTCTGACTGACTGACTGACTGATTTACTAACCAATTGAATTTTTGACTAACCGATTGAATGATTGACTAACCGATTGAATGTCTGACTGACTGACTGACTGACTAACCGATTGAATGATTGATTAACCGATTGAATGATTGACTAACCGAAGGACTGACTGACTAACCGATTGACTGATTGAGTAACCGATTGACTGATTAACAGACTGACTGATTGTCTGACTGACTGACTGACTGATTTACTAACCAATTGAATTTTTGACTAACCGATTGAATGATTGACTAACCGATTGAATGTCTGACTGACTGACTGACTGACTAACCGATTGAATGATTGACTAACCGATTGAATGATTGACCAACCGATTGACTGACTGACTAACCGATTGACTGATTGAGTAACCGATTGAATGATTGACTAACTGACTGACTGATTGACTGATTGACTGATTGACTGACTAACTGACTGACTGACTGACTGGCGACATAAATGTCTTGATTTATGACGTCTTGTGGTTTTCGGGTCACATCATCCAGAGCCGATCGATATATATTTATATTTATTTTCTGGAGAGACTCGTCGCCTCGTCGCCAATTGGCATCGCTGGATGCGGTTTTGCGTCCGTAACGAGCGTTTTGGCCTACAATGTTGCCAACGCCAGCGGAAGCAGCCACCGCAAAGAGCCATTTATGCAAAGTGCTCAAGCATTTAATGCTGGTCCTCAGCTCCTCTGCACCTCTGCACCTTTGCGCCTCTGCTCTGCGCTCATTGTGCAACTCATTAGCACTTATTAAAATTAAGTGCAGTCAAAGGGCTGCGCTGGGCAGACCCCAGCTACACTCAGCGAAAAATATAAGGCTATTTATGTACGAGCATGACTGCATTAGAATTCATGACGAGTTTCTTTCTTCGGGTTACTAAATACAATTGGATCTTCATTTAAGTCGTCGATATATAAATTGAATGCTAGACATTTAAAAAATACTAAGCGCTTGTAATAAGAATTTACATGCTTAAATAAAGTGTAAAATAAAAAAATAAATACAAATTTGTGTTAAGAATTTACATGCTAATGAGAGCATAAATAATATATATTAAACAAAAAATATGCACAATTCCTATACGAATTTACACGCCTGAAAAATTAATTTAATGATATAATTGGCATTTACATGTATGAAAAATGCTTAAGATAATTATATAATATTTCTTATAATAAGAATTTTTAAACCGTAAAATAATAATAAGTGATAAAAATACTGAATTATAATAACAAATTATATGCTACAACATTTTTAGAGTTTCTTTAATTCAAACTCAACTAAAGCTATCGTTGATTCAGTTTTCAGTTTTCACCAATTTCTCGCCTTAAGGTTCGTTTCAAGAAATTGGTTTCGCACCTCTTTAAAGCTACCTTTTGGTTCTAGACATGTTTTGATACTTTTCAGTAGAGCAATCAAATTAAGAATTAATTCAATTTATCTCATTATGTAAATAATAATCTATATATATTATATAAAATTTATTGAAAAGGTTGATATTAGAATAGCTAGAGAATCTTGCAATAATACTTACAAAAAACATTAAGATGGCTTGATGATGATTATTATTCCTATTGTTATTATTATCATTATTATTATTATATGATTGGCACCAGACTTAAGTTCGACTGTTCTTTATCCAACTAATACATCGTCATGTACCGCAAAAAAGTTTGAATTAAATAAAAGCTTTGCACTCTGCTTAATATAATTTAATTTTTAGATTTCTTCATGTCATTCTAAATTTTTCTGCGTGTATTTTAGTAGCTGGCGGAAATGATGGGCCTAGATTTGTGAGTTGCGGGCTGGGCCCTCGCCCTGGGTGCAACATCAACAGCGACACAGACGCAGTCGCAGTTGCCGTCGCAGTCGCGGTTGCAGTCGCAGTCGATGTCGACGTCGCAGTCGGCAGCAGCTGCTGCTGCGTCAGTTGTAATCAACATTTCAGCAATTGTCAGTTACAGTTGCAGTTGTTGTGGTTGATATGCTAGTTGTTTGTTGTTGTCGGTTGTTGTTGTTGCTGTTTGTTGTCGGTTGTTGTTGTTGTTGTTGTTGCAAGTGTGCAGTGGCGCGTGTCGCTGGTTGTATTAAAAAGGCAAACAGAGTAACAGAAACAGACACAGAAACAGAAACTGAAACGAAATGCGCCTCAAAATGGCGTCCAATTATCGTTGGCTGCCATGTTTCTTTGTTTAGTTGTTGCCATTGTTGCCATTGTTGTTGTTGTTGTTGCTGTTGTTGTTGTCTGTTGCCGGGCAATAAAACATTTCATTTATTAGCTTAAGGCGCGCCCAAAATTGTGCATTTGCCGCATTCGTAATTCGACTGCAAGTTTCATTGATTCTCCAAAAGTTGTTGTTTGTTTTTGTTTTCATTTTTTGGTCGTGTCAGTTGGCAGTTAGCTTAATGCGCCCAGCTGTGCCACGCCCCTCGCGCAGCCCAGCGAGCAGTTCGCACGTTCACAGGCAAAAGGCGAAGGCTGCGGCCAAAAGGCAAACAAATTAAAACAAATTGGTCAACATAATTTTCATTATAAAAGCAATAGCAACAACAACAACAACTCGTGGAATCATCATCACATTAGGGTGGCAGCTGCTGGCGCCGCGGCTCGATTATCCTTTTCGTGGCCAATCCTTTTGCATACGTGCCGCACCTGTTGTCATGGTTAATCGACAGCCGCAGATCGCAGATCGCATTCGTCTCTCCATGCGATGGATATCGCTCTCTAATGGCGTCCCTGGCCATTAATGCCGCGAGCTGTTTGAATTGGACACGGCAGCCGGGCTGCATGTTAAGTGCTTTGCCACAGCTCCTGCTGCACTGCGGCACGGCGGAGTAGGTGTGAAGTTCGCTGTTGCAGTTCCACAAGTGTTGCCGCAAAGTGTTGGCCCTTGCATAATTATATGCAATTTATATGCACGCTGAGCCCCGTCCAGCCTGCTCCTTCTTCTTCTTCCAGGAAACGGCTACCGTGTTACCTGGTCGGGCCAGGTCAAGGGTCAAATGGACGAATGCTGC